GGCTGGGGTTGTGGCTCAGTGGTAGAGTGCTTGCCTAGCAACCATGAGGCACTGAGTTCGATCCTCAGCACCACATAAAATTAAAATAAAGGTATTGTGTTCACCTACAATTAAAAAATGTATTAAAAATGTATTTCTGCAATCTCATTCACAATAGGTACAAAAAATATTTAGGAATAAACTTAACCAAGGAAGTGAAAGAAAGATCTCTACAACAAAAATTAGAAAGCACTGGTGAAAAAATTATAGACAACACACAAAAAAATGGAGATATTCTGTGTTCATGAATTGGAAGAAATTACCTTACCACTGAAAATGATCTGTAAATTCAGTGTAATTCCCATCAAAATTCTAATGACTTTATTCATAGAACAGAAAATTTTTTTCTAAAATTCATATGGAACTACAGCCCAGAATAGCTAAAGCAATCCTGGCGGGGAGGGTAAATTTGGTGGTGTTGGCAAAATTGGATATACATAAGTAGAAGAATGAAACTAGATCCCTTTCTCTCATAATACATAAAATCAACTCAAAATAGATCAGAGACCTAAATCTTAAACCTGAAACAATGAAATTACTACAAGAAAACATAGGGCAAGCACTTCAAGACATTGGTATAAGCAAAGTGGTTTTTTTTTTTTTAAAGATAGGACAAAAGCATAGACAACAAAAGTAAAAACAGACTAGTGGGGTTATATCAAGTTAGGAAGCTTCTGCACGGCAAAGGAAACAGTCAACAGGATTAAGGGATAACCTGCAGAATGGGAGAAAATATTGGCAAATGGTACATCCAACAAGGAGTTGACATCCAGAAAGATAAGGGCACTCTCTTGTTTATTGAGCACTATTCATAGTAGCCAAGATATAGAATCAATCTAGGTGCTCTTTAGTGAGGAAATGGATAAAGAAAATGTGGTATGTTTACACAATGGAATTCTACTCAGCTATTAAAAAGAATGGAAAACTGTCATTTGCAGCAACATGGATGGAACTAGAGAGGATTATATTGAGTGAAACAAGACAAATACCACAATGTTCTTACTTGTTTAGGGAAAACAATAAGTCAGTCTTATGGAACTATGAAGCAGAATAGTGGTCACTAAAAATGGTGAAGTGTAGCAAGCAGGGGAAAGAGAAAGAAATTAAGAAGGAACTTTAAGGGAGTGGGAAGGGTGCTGGCAAGAATGGAAAGGGAAGGGGGTTGAGGGTAGAAGGGTGGATGGGCATTATCCATGCATCATGTGTGCATGTATGGAAATAACATAATAAATCCCATTAATTCATACAATTAATATGTGTTAATATAAGAACCATATTTTTGTGGTCAGGAATCTGAATAAGGCTTAGCTAGATCATCTGCTTCAGGGTCTCGTACAAGGCTGTAACCAAAGTGTTAGCCAAGGTATGAGTCTCATCTGATGGCTGTACTGCAGAAAGGTCTGTTCTTGAACTCATGTGTTTGTTGGCAGAATTTCAGTTCCTCCAGGGATATTGGATTAAGGCCTCAGTTCTCTGGTTGTTGGCTGGAGTCCTTTCTCAATTCCTTGAAACTTGGGTTTCCCCATCATCTTAGCTTGTTTCATCAAAGTCAGCAAGAGAAAATCAATGGAGAGAGTCTGCTAGAAAGACAGAAATCACAATCTATGTAAACTCATCACACAAGTGACAACCTATATCCTTTCCCATATTGGTTAAAAGCAAGTCACAGGTCCTGCCCATACTCAAGGGGAGGGGATTACATTGGGAGGCACCTCAGAAGCTGCATACTACAAACAACTCTCATTTTAGGGAAAGAGTATTAACAGGAAGGCTTTCTTTGACACTTAGAACTGACTTCAAAGCTCAAATCTGCCATTTCCTAACGATGTGACACAAGGCAGTTTACCTGGCCTCTTGTTTTTCCATCTGTGTGGCACCTTCCCCATAGGATTGTTGTGAACCTAAGTGAGAAGTCACGTGTAAAGCCTTGTAGAACAGTAAACACTCAGTAAATGTCAGCCACTGGCTGTTCTTTTCATCCTTGCTTCTTGAAATAACAGTAGACTTTTTGAATTTCAGAAGAACAGCCTGAAACTCCCCAGTGCTCTCAGATTTGGTTATTCATGTGGAAATCACAGTCCTATGGGTGGGTACCTGTATACAGTGCTGCTGCCAGTCTGGCTGTGCAGGTTCTCCCATCTGTCCAGGGCCTTGGGACTGAGGAACAAAAGTTTTTGGCCTCAGGAGGGCTATAGCTACCTGCCATGGTGACCACCCTCAGAATGGGGCTGGTGTGACCCCCTGTAGTGTCCCCTCCTGGATCTCTGTGTGAGAGAAGCCACTTCTCTGTGGAGGACTTGGCTATGGTGACCAAGGGTGTGTCCAGCTGAGTTCACCATGCCTCCCTACATCTTTGCATTTCTGGATGGGGTCCCAAGGATAACCCAAGTAACTTCAGTCCATCTGTAGAGCCAAGAATGCAGATTTGGAGATGGAGCCCTTTTGGTCTACATGCTCACCTTGGCCTCAATCATGCCAAGCAAATGGCAGGCTGCTTTTGCTTATGACTGATCAGAAAGCCCTGCTGTCTTTTCTTGTCTCCATGCCCTCCTCCTCTACTCTCTCCACATTGTTGTCCTCAGTTTTTCATTCCTATAGGCCCCCAGGGCAGAGAGCGCTTGCAGGAGGGCCCTGCTTGGCCACTGCAAACTGCCCTCCATCATTCCCTTTCTTTCGCCCCTTGCCTCCATTGTTTCCATCTGGAGAACCTGTTTTGGGTCCCATTGCTGGCCCCCTGGAGCTTGGGAGAACTTTGTGGGGATCATGATGTATAATTTTTTTTTTTTCATTCTGGAGAAATCCTGGTTTTAGGGCTTACTTCTTCCATTTTTCCTTAGATAACCTGATAATATCCAATATGTGACCATATTCCCAGCTTCCTTGAAGATAAAAAATCACCCAGAATTCTTATTAGAAATGGAGTCCTCAGCCCTCTTCCTCAGACAGCCAGATTCCAGGGGGCATAGGATGGGGCCTGAGAACTCATATTTTTAGTAAATGCCGAGCTAATTTCTATCATGATGGCAGAAGAAATACTAAGCTTGCCAACACCTAGATCTAGTCACTCTACCTCAGTGTAAGGAACAAGATGAAAGATCTGAAAGCCTGGGCTCCTTCCCTAATGAAGAATTCTTTCTGACCCATGGGCCTCCATTCAGTGCTGTGGAAGAGAGAGGCAGAGATTTGAGTACAGTTTTATTCTCTGAAAATTTTCTGTAGTGACTGCCCTTTAAATCACTCTTTCTTCTTACATATGCAAGAGAATGTTGTATGTGAAGAAGTGTTTTTTTCTTTATGGTGTTGTATTTAGATGATTAGAAAAATACAGTGCTGTGTTGACAGTGGCACAGCTGGGCCATCCAGACATCAGACTTCCCCATGTGGACTTGATTGCAAGAGCTTGTATTCATTGTGCACATTTTCCTCACAGCCTGGCCTCTTGACAACAGATGTGAGAAATTACAGTGAGAATATTCCTTTTGTTTCCACAGCTGACACCCAGGCACTGGAAAGGGTGTTGGTTTAGGATTGAGTGGGTGGGTGAACTTGGTTTTTATTGAGGGAAGTGAAATATCCTAGTAATCCACATTCCCAGAGTCACTTGTCCTGCTCAGGGGAACCTAGAAAAGAAGTTTCGGGGAGCAAAGAGTGATAGTCTCTGGCTGTTCTTCTGGCTTCTAGAAACAACTGCACTCAAGTAGCATTACTAGCATGCCTTGGAAAAATAGTCATAAAGAAGGTTTCTTCATTTCCCTGAAACTATGCTGACATCATCATGTTATTCCATGTTCCTTGCATGAGGCTCAAATGGCAAATTGCTTTTCTAGGAAAATATTTCTCCTCAAGAGCTTTCTTTTCCAGTAATGATTCTTCCACAGTCAGGATGAGTTCAAAGACTGCTTTGCCTAAAAGTACTCCATTTAGAGACCAGTGTACTTAAATTCACTTTCTTTTTTGGCTTTTGTATACACTTGGGTGTCCATTTTTTTTTTTTTATGTCATCTCTTTTGACATTTTAAGAATTTTAAAAATTAATTTGGCTAAACTAAAATTAAACCTTTTGATTTAATTTTGTATTTCTAATAAGTCCTTATTAAATATGTAGAATTTTATGCAAAGCTGGTTGCTTTTATTTTTCAATTTTCATCTTATTTTGAACACTTAAAGGATTTTTGAAACAGTTTGCCCAAAGACCCTGTCTTCAGAAATTAATATATTTTGTGATGAGTCTGTGTTATTTTGTGAAGTAGGTACCTTAAAATGTGATTATGTAGTGCAATCCATTGCAGTTTTTATTCATCTGCCTTATTTTTAATGTCTATTGTTAGGATCTAATTAATTCTCCACTAAACAGAAAGAAACACAGATAATGTGCAACTACATGAAGAAAAAGGCAGAAAACTGTAGCTCAAGAATAGCAAAAGAGGTGAATTTGATGATTTCTACATAAAACTTTAAGACTTGGTCAAGTTGTAAAGTCCTTAAATTATTCCAAAAGTAAATTAAAGAGATAACCAGAAGGATATAAAATCATGATGGAAATTTGAGAAGTACTTAGTAGAAATATAACATTAAGCAATAAATGGCTTGCACAATCTTAAATTTGTTACAGAATCCCCCATAATAAATTTGAAATGGTTCCAAAATCCTAAGAATGTCAACAGGATGTCAGAGAAGGAACTGGACACTTGACAGGGATGCAGAAATTCTCAACAGGGAGTTGCATTTTAAGCAAATTGCTCAATGAGGCCAGTTGCCTTGCAAACAGAGTGTGGGTTACAGAAACTACTCATTGGTGTGTCTTTTTCTCTTCCATTTTTTTATTTTAATTGTCCTCATGCATATGTATCTTTCTGAATAAGCTATTTAAAGTCTTTTGGGGCACTAGGTAGCCTAGAAATCATAAATTATACATAAAAGTCATGTTGCATCAACTTACATGCCCATCTCTCCTCTTACAGAGAACAGCCCATCTTCACCACCCGAGCGCATGTCTTCCAGATTGACCCCAGCACCAAGAAGAACTGGGTGCCTGCAAGTAAGCAAGCTGTCACTGTTTCCTACTTCTACGATGTCACGAGGAATAGCTATCGGATCATCAGTGTGGATGGAGCCAAGGTACTGCCCCACCTGCTGATTTTAACATTCTCACTTATTTTCTGTCCAAAGCAGTACCATCCCTTTGAAAAGTAGGAGGAAAAAGGTGTATCCAGAACCAGCTATCTGAACATGAAAGTTATCATCATAATGTCTGTGTAGTCACGTATCCTGCTCTTCTGTCCTTTTAAAAATATAGCAATCCAGTGAAAAGCAGATTTCCTTGTTACCACACTGTCTTTGTAACTAACATTTTAATTCCTATATAATGATTCCATCAGGGGCCTATAGTGCTCTTAATTTCTCCCTTATGGTTGCATATTTGAGTGGCTTCCAATTTTTCTCTACTATAGATAATGAACATTTTTGTGTGCTAGATATCCTCAGTTGTTATCACAGTTCTATTGCTTTCTTTTGAATATTTCCTTAGGCTAGATTCCTAGAAGTAATATTAGGCCATAATATTAACACTTTATGGCTCGTGATACATATTGCCAAATTGCTTTCCAAAAGGATTCTTTCTTCCAGCATTATGAAAATGCCAGTTTAGTGTACCCTTACCAGCATTAGGTATTATATCTAGTCTGGTTCTGATATCATTAGACATGGAAGTCAATTTTTATTAAATGTTTGGTGTATTTCGTGAAATACCTTTTTCCTGGTACTTTCGTTATACTGCTATCTTTCTCCACATTTTTGCCATATTATTATGGGAGTAAAATGAAGGGATGCCAGCAGAAATACCACAAAGTCTTTTTATAAATAAATAAATAAACCCACCACTTTATAGTCTTCAGTCTGCATCTACCCTGCCAGACATTTTTACACGTTGTCATCTGAAATTCAGTGATCCTTTTTATCCTCTAAACCATGTCTCTGTTTTGATTTCCCAACTATTTGGCCTCTAAAAAAAGAACAAAAAACAGCAAGTCATTCCTTTTTCTAAGTTTATCAAATAAATTTGCCTTTGGAATACCTCACATGTAATACTTTCTGTTTTAAGACCTGAACTCTTGCTTAGGCACAGTGTTGCCAGGACCCGTGCAGTAGCCTCTGGCCTTCTCATTCCTATCTGCATTTTCTCCTGACTTCTGCCTCTAGGTTTGCCTTCCTAGGCAACAGGAAGTAGAGAGTTGGAAGCTGTGCTCTAGGTTGGGGCCTGGGTGTAGACTTCTCCCTGCACTTCACAGAGTAGAAGGCATGAGGAAGCCTCCATTGGAAATCCACCCCCCACCCCGCCCCCACAGTAAGACCTGCTGGAGCCTTCCGATCTAATGAGGATCCCAGTTTTAAGGCAAATTCTCCCTTCAGTCTGTGTTCTCCAAGTGCCTCCTTTGTGTTTCCAGCACCATGGCAACTGCAGATGAAGGTGACTTCTTCCAGTTGCCACAACCCTTTCTCCTATCCAGGGAAAGAGTTCAGAACTCCTCATTTTTTAACCAAGGTCTAAGGGGAGGCAGTGACCTGGCTAAGCTCACACTTCTGAGGAGGCTAGGCAGGCTGGTGCTGGCAAGCATCTTTAGATACACAAGAACTGGCTTTTTCATCTATTAAAGCAGGATGATAGTGCATGGGGTGAGGGTGAGGCTGGTGAATAGTAAGGAAACGTGAAAGTGCCTGGGACATAGTAGTAGTTGCCTTATTTTTATTTTTATTTCATTTTAATTTTTTTCTTTAAGCTTCTGGGAGACATGGGATGGTGCAGTTGTAATTACCACTTCTCTTCCCTAAGTTGGAATCGCCTGGATTCTTTCCAGGATGTTCTGATAGGGATGGGGAATTGAGCTGACCTGCTTTCTTTTATCTGTGTATTCTGTCAGTTCATCTGCCATCCTTGGATGGTTTGTACTTTTGTCAGTTGAACTATCCAAGGATATATTGGGCTTAACTATAGATAAAACAACTTCTTAGAATAAGTGCTTTAGCCCTGTTAGCTAGGCTTTTAGTAATTTGTCAGTGTCAGCCACTGTATCGTTATGGCTCTGCAGTTCCTGAAGGCTATGACAGCTTGGTGAAGTCTGAGCCAACTGAGATGGCTGTGAGAAATCAGATGGGTATAGGAGGGTGGACTAAGGCCATAACTGTGGAGCAGAGCTAATTCAAGCCCAAGGTGGGGGATCCGACAAGTTAGGCACTTAAAAAGTGGAAATTGAAAACCTAGGCCTTGGGGAATTGCTGCAATATAGAGATGGAGACAGAGGATCTCAGGATACCCCCCCCCCCCCCCCAATACACACACATTTCACACCATGATGCCCAGCCACCTGGTGTTCCCATAGCCCACTCAGAGTTCTAACTTTACCACTATAGCATCGAGAACTTGACAAAGCCCTGTTCTGCAGAAGGCCCTGGAACATGGAGAGGTAGGGACAGGATTTAGGCACTTAATTATCATTAGCACTCAGGGATTAGAGATAGGGGAAAATTTCTTGCATGGAGAACTGGAACACAGAGCACTGGATGTGATCCCAGCACCATGTCAGCCCTGCTGGACCCACTCTTGACCCAATGAACAACAACAAGTGAAACCAACAGCCAGGTCTTGACCAGATCCTGGGCCTTCAGCTATTCCTCAGTCAAGTGGGGCGTAGAGAAAAGATTAAAGAGCAGTAGCAGCTATGGCCACTGCCTGGTGTTCTGCAGCTTGCACCTTCCTCACTCATGGTTGGGGTACTAATTTCTCTAACCTAGCTTCTACCCTGTCTAAATACTCTAGATGGATGGCCTTCCTTCCTGTGGACTGGAATAGGGTCAAGTATGCTGAGATGACTGTTGTTTGTTTGTACTGACACCAATGCCTTCCCCTCAGATTCTTATCCATTGTCTCTGTACAATCAGCGTGGTTGTCCTCTTTGTATTCCTGGCTCCATGTTCACTGGCCTTCCAAGCCTAGAACCCTACTACCTGCTCAGCTGCACATCCTAGGTCTCAGGTGACTAGAGAATGATGTCATGGGCTAGCCACTCAGAGTGGATGCTCCTGGGCTAGAGAAGTATGAATGCTTCCTGGCTTCCCCATCATTGTGTTCTGCCACATTAAGACAACCCATTTCATTTTAGGCCTTTGATCCCAAATGTTGATCCCAACTTAGATGACAGATTAGCCTTTGGGACCATGTGGACTGTATCTCTGTGACCTTGGGCAGATCTGGGACCTATTGCTAGGCTTCTCTTTGTTGTCCTGGCCACATCATATCCTTACCTTGAGCTTCTGCTTGGTACTTCCAAGTCAATGGTCCTTCACAAGGCAGAGGACTGTTGCTGATGGAAGAGCAAGTCTGCTCTGCCTCTCCAAACAGAGTAGGTGTGCTTCTGTAACAAGGTGCTGGTATGGAAGGGACTTGGAGATCATTTTGAGCAAAGGCCACACCAGACCCAGCCACTGTGAGCAGTCTGAAGAGCACAGACTCCCCAGGAGTGGTGGAGTTGTAGCCAGCAGCTTTAGCAGCTGTCATTCCACGCCAGGCTCAGCAAGCTCCTCTTCCCTGTCCAAGCATTTGTCATGCTCTACTTGGTGAAGGATGCATGAAGAGCCAGTCCTACTCCTGAGAGCAATTGGTTCTGCTAATCACAGGAAGACTCTGTATTCAGATTCATTCTTCATTCTTGTTGAAACACTAAGCCATTTCCTTTTTTCAGGGATAGTATTGCATGTGTGAGTTCCAGCTGCTACCTAAAGAAATGAGTGTGTTGCCTCAGTGAATTATGTGGATTTGTGTCTGTGTATGGGGCTACAGGAGACTGTGAGCTCTCTGGAGGAAGACCATGCCTGGCCCATATTTGGAATTTCAGCACCAATCAGAGTGGGCCACACCAGAGAAGTGGGTGGGGGAGTGAGAAGATGATGAAGTCAGGCCTGGCCACCTCCCCTCCAGGCTGCAGCAGGTATACAGTGTACACAGAAGGATAGTGGGAAGGGGCAAGGTCTCTGCCAAGAAAGAACCAAGGACCAGACCTAGGGTTGCCCTGTTCATGGACAGTGGACAGAGGGCATCTCCCAACTCAGAGCATTACTGTGAGCCATGCAGCACACACCAACAGCCATGATTTATGGTGAGTTTTGGGGCAGAACAGCCAACTGCATTGTAAAGACACTCCGTTTCCAGAGCATTGGTTAATTGAGCCATCATAGCACTTGATTTCATTGTGCTGTTGGCACTCATTACAAACCCAGTTAATCACTGCCATCCTTATGAGGAATTGGCTGTGCCTGTGGGCAAGGCTTGCCTGAAGCAGGTGCTTATCCCAGGTGCTCTGGATAACACTGTTGCCCTTGATTCTCAGTTATTTATAGGATCACAAAAAAGCTCGACTGGAAGAGACCTTAGAGGTCATCTGTTCTACAGATAGCTAGCAGGGTTGTGTCACAAGCCCTGTCTCATTATAATTGTTTAGCTGTTATAAACATCTGAAATCCTGGCTTGTTTCGTATTTTCTTCTAGGAATATAAAATTGCTTTCAAGAACACCCACCATTGTAGTTTCCTCTTTTGAATAAATGTAGAGCACCTTCTGATAAGGGAGTGTGGTGGGAAGGTTCCTACCACACAATAGGGCTTCAATGAATGTTGGTTTTCTTTCTTCCTCATCTGTGTGTATGTGTTTTTTTAAAGCACCTATTAACAACTTCCTTGAAAGCAGGCAGCATGTTTTTTAATTGCTGTAACCCAGTCCCAGCCTCTTGAGGAAAACTTTTATGTTTTCTGAACTTGCAACTCCCTGGATTTTAGAGTCTTTCATGAAAGTCTTTCATGTGTTGTGCCTCCCCATTTCATGAGCAGCTTCGGGTGATGTCCAGAGCAGGAAAGACTAAAGACTTTTTTGCTTGTCACAAGTAGCTCTTGGTTACAGGTATTTTGTGCATTTTATAAAAACTTGTTTCCAGTGATATGCAGGAACTTGGTCTTTTACACCTAGTAAAATATCAGAGAAAATTTGCGAGAAAGGTAGGTATATGCAGAACTTGGGACTCCACATTTAAAGTTTGTGCCCAGGGTGCTTTACAAAGCAGCCCCTCTCCCTT